CAGAAAACTACTTATTTTCAGACGAGCTAAAACAGACCTATTTTTTGCTACTTTTGTAAATACATAATTTAATAATGTGGCCGATTTTTGTACGTAATAAAGTTCCCGTTGGTACTTCTAAGCAATTTTTGCTAGCGTATCTCTCCGTAGCTGATAACTTTTATAAATAAAGATGAAATGAACCGCCAACAAGTAGGATGAGGATCCAAACAAACGGAAAAAATTTGATTTACCTACCAATTTTTCTGGAAAAATCACTAGTAGGCTGACTACGAAATAATGCATCTATGCAACTTAACTGGGCCGATTGCGCTGATAATTTTCACGAAGATGCACTGATATGGAACTGTAATTGATAAATGTGCCAAAGAAAACTGCTCTAAGCATTTCAACTGTGAAAAAGTCTAATTTCCTGTTAAAACGGGATAAAGGCAGTGGTATTCTTGCCTGCCATAACGTGTTATTTTCATCGGCGCTTCCGTCAGCAATGAATCTTGCTTGACTCAGCTTCAGAATTCTCTTGTTACCATCAATTTTTTGGCTGACAGTCACAAGCGGGAAGCCTATCTGCTTCGTCCACGTTGACATCAATGTCTTGATATCCTGAACTTCAAAAAATGACAAAAGAAATTTTTGGAAAACTCCCTGTTTATAGCGTATGATCCCATAAAATCCCTAGGGAAATACGACTTCAGAAAACTGAGGAATTGCTACTTAGTACAAGAAATCCACTGTACTTTTTTTTTGCAAACAAAAATTAATAATGTCTTAAGAAAGAATTTAACTATAGCTCAAAATGTATGTTTTTTTTTTTTCAAAAACGGAAAAAAACACTAACACAAAAACAAGATATTATGTCTTGTCTGATGAAAAAATGTATCATTTTGTATCATAAAACGAATAATAGGGCTATTATAAGCATCCAACAGAAACCAGTAATTATTACATAGGAATGAAAATTACAAGAATCCATGTGTTTGCGCACGAAATTAGGAGTGTTTACCTGTCCGGAAGCTTCGCCCAGTGCATCCCATAAATCAGCAGTGACTGCATTACTGTACTGGAATTTTTTCAAATAAATTTGCAGGCCTTTTTGGAATGTCTCTTCGCCCAGGTAGTTGCACAGCATACGATTCACCGAATTCGATTTTGCATAAGTTATGCTGTCGTAAATTTCATCCAGTTCATTTGGGTTGTCAATTTCAACCTGAAAGAAGCTATTCTGCACTGAGCCTTAAACTCTGAAACAGGATTTATAATACTTAGGGATTGAGATGCTTACTTTTTAGCTCTCCTACGTCGTTCATTATCAATTTATTACGATGGCCTGTATTGAACTAGCATGGAAATGTCATATCAGTGATTACTAAAAAGCATCCACTTCGCATTTGCAGCTATGCCAAGTCCTTCCGTCCTAACTATGAATAGTGAAGAAGTTGCCAGCTCCATCAACGGCGGATTGCGCGGCGTAAATTGATTTCTCAGCTTTTTCCAAAAAAAAGTACCTCAATAGGATGAGAGCTTTTCAAAGCATCCAGATTGAAGCCGGAAGCGAGCTCATCATTAACAAAACGAAGCCATATACGAAATTCGGGGTAATTGTAGCCCACAAACATGTATTCCATGAATGACGCGAATCCCTCCTTCAGCCATAAATCTGTCCACCATTTCTATAAAACAACAAAACATTTCTCGGCTGAAGAAATGCAATGCATCTATCATTATTTTTGAAAACAAAAAGCAAAAATTCATACGACTACCTGTAAAAAGTCTGCAAAATTGATGCAAATTCTCACGAGAATATTGTCAGCTACTGTGGCGCCATGAACGCCTGCGGTAATTAAATCAGCAGCCTTCTGAGTATTAAAATAAGATCATACGCAGTTAAATAAAGAAAACTGACCATGGTTACGAGATTTCCAAACCAAAGATGCGCAAGCTCATGCGCAACAACAAGCGCCACATGAGATTTCTGTCTCGTCGAGGATTTCGCCGGTTCGACCAGAAGTGCCACTTCACGATAAGTTACTAAGCCCCAGTTCTCCATTGCTCCTTAAAACTCGTTGATTAACAGACAGAAGTAAATAATACAAAATAAAATTCTTCTAATCGATGAGCATTTTATACAGAGTTTAATCTTCAGTCAAAGTCCCAACAAGATATTAGGACCAGAAGTGTTTCTGCGTATCTATGAAACCAAGTACGGCCATTTTTGAAAATTCATCTACGATTATCTTCAAGCACAATTCCTCAAACGAGTAATGACTTCCCAGAGGAACGTGCGCGAATACTGATAGATCAGCTTGAGGACCAAAAAAGCAGTGGAGACACAAAATTAGCTAATTATTCTTCTTTATAAGAAATAAGTAGCAACCAGAATAGCCGGTGCGATCATGCATTTTGTGCAATTCAGCTCATCGAACGATTGCCTGTTAATGATTTTCACTGTTTTGTACTTTTGTCTATGCAAAAATAGTTCAAACATTGGAAAATAATTAAAAATTTCACGCATCCAGCGCATGAAAGCTGAATTCGAAACCTTGAAGGATGAATATCTTTCAGTGATTCCAGAGTTAATAGTTTAACCGCCAAAATTCTCACGAGGCCACTGGTGATACCCGAGAGCGGGGAAACCCTGAATTTGGGAAAAGGTTGAGCGTGGGCAGGGGGTCATTACTCTAAAATTTCAGCCTCCTAGACTCCGTGGTTCCTGA